TCGATGCTTCCCCCCATCTATCAGTGGCATTGGAAACTACTTGGGCGGGAAATTTGCCTGATTTTGCTCAGAGGTCTTCTAGAGACATGAGGATCTTTTACGGGACCCACGGCTAAACGTCCCTCCCGGAGGACTTGTTCCCTGAATTTTTCCGCCCTTAAAAATTCCACAACCTCCGCCGGGTTTGAACCCGCGTACCTTGAGTCATGAGGTGGGTACATTACCCTTAGACTACGGAGGCCGCTATATAACATATTATATCAATTACCTTATAAAACAATTCATTACATACTATGTATCCCCATATACCACATAGGAATTAACATATACAGCAGTTTATAGTAAGCATCACCATACCTCATGTGTCACCATACACAACAAGGCGAGGCGCAGCACGTTTTAGCGTGGGGCTATCTGAAGTCGGACGGATACGCGCTGCCGTCATGTAAACAGAGGATGGAGTCATTCATATGGTCTCGCCCATGTTTTCAGTTGCCGAGAATAACAGGAACTCCCATTTAGGTAAAAGCCATTCTGAGTTTCTTTCAATTCTGCTATTTATTGTACACATTCCTCGTACATGTTTGTTTCTTTTCTTTTGCGTAAAAGCTTATCTCCGACCACGTGACTTGTCTTATCATACTTGCAAGAGAGCGCGGGGAAGCTTATCTGCAAGATCGCCTTCTCGTATTCCGATGCTCTTGTCGTGCTCTCAGTGCTGCACCGTGCTGCATAACCTGCAGGACTATAATCTCTTCATGCCGTGAGATTGTGTGTATGCGCACACGCCTGCTGCATGTGGTATTAATTCTGCCGGTAGGGGGATCTGCCAACAATAGTCTCTCTGTCATCATTTTTACGAAAGACGCTTATTTAGAAGACCTTCTTGAAACCTGTATTTTGGGCAATTTTCGATAAAAACTTCGGACTTGACATCAAGAATTCTGAAAGGTTTTTTTTTAATTTGCTTATGGGGGGGGTATCCAACTGGGTCCACTCGCCACGGCGGCCACTGATTGGCGTATTGTAGCCTGCCCCAGGTGATTATGATGATGGAGAATTTGGCTGAATGAAGATTGGCAGAGGAAACCAAAGTACTCAAAGAAAACTCGCCCCAGCACACTTTGTCCATCACAAATCCCACTTGATGAGACCCGGGATCGAACCCGGCCCGCCGCGGTGGGAAGCCAGCGACTAACCGCTTGAGCTATACCGCGGCCTATTTCTGAAAGGTTTGCTTGGTTTTACAAAGTCCATCCAGGCGAATTCCGGGGTAGTCCGACAAACTCAAGGTGAATTCGTGATATTTCTGCGACGGTGTTCTCAGCGTTACCTGGAAAGAAGAGATTCCAAATTTCAGTAACAAATGGCAAAAACCTCTGGCTCAGTGCTGATTCTTAGCGCGTTTTTCTACAAGTTATCTCAGTTTCTGAAAAGTGCTGCAGAAAATCGCTGATTTAATTGGATGATTTTGTCTCCTAACAGTAGAATCCCCCCCCCCAGGTCATACAGCGCATACCGGACTGCTCAGCAGACTTAAGTCGCGATGCAATAAGTTATACGTTTCAAGTCTGAAGTGTGTGGTGTGTAGTTCTCTGCCTGAGCTTATGACACCTTCGATCATAGTTCAATGAGTTCTACTACTTTAGTCTAGCCAAAAATAGCGCGATATTCAATTTAAGTAAACCCAGGCCATAACACAGAAATATGCAAAGACCTTTACTTTGCTTTAAGATTATTTTTTCACGGTTGCCAACTTTCAAAGCGCTAAAAATTGAAATACTCATGATGGTTGTCTTTTGTGTGTGAGTGTGGATGTGTGTGTGTGTACGTATGCGTATATGTGAGTGATTTATTAAAAAAATTCTGTGGGATTGCCTTACTTACCTCCCCCCCCACTACCACAGGAGATATCTGTCACACTTGAGACTTGGCTACCCGGCTCCTCACTTCTCCTGATGGAGACAGACGCACTGATTCAACGCGTAACGAGCAGGGAGCGGCACATCATGGCGGACCACCTCAGCTTATATTTGTAAACTTCGTATCTAAATGATATTTACTGCTCGCTTCAAGATGATCACTGCTGTTTTATCAAAGACAACAACCCTAATCCATTTCTCTCCTAACGTACACCAATTACACTTTCAAATGGGAATAGTGAAATTATCGTAAATGATTTAGGATGCAAATGCTTGGATTGTCCCAGTTTCTTTACACCACGTGACCACTCTAGAATCCACCAATCACAAACTTCATTCTTGGAATGGTCAAAAACCTCGCGCAGGCAACACTGGCTCAGAAATTAGGAACTGGAAAGCACATCTCATTTACATCGGACAAAATTAAAATATTGCGGAAATTTGCTAGATGTAAGGAAGTTACAGTTTTCTGGGACACAGGTATGACACCGTAATATCTGGCAGAAACACTGCCTTCCAACGCCTAACGTAAGTTAATTTAAATATCAATACTGTTTGTCTGATTATGAACTCGGGACAGGAAGTTAAATAAACTGGAATATAATTTTGTTATTTTAATGGCCACTCTTTCAGCGAATAACTTACGCTCTAGATAGTATCCTCGCGCTTGGAATAGGCTTCACAGGCGACCAAATGCGGTGGACAAAAAAATGAACATATTACTTTTCACTGCCATCGCTGAACTAACATAATAGATATCTTTAACCCTAAAGCGCCGGTTTAATTCCCACAGTGCCAAGCCACCATTTTGTGTTGCCAGAGCTATTCCTCTTTCAAGGCAAATTGTGCGTAGGCCTATGACCTCCCTGAGTCCCCATAAGCAGAAAGAAACGTCTGGAACGCTTTCTTCCATTGTAGTTGAGATACCACACCAACAGGTTGCACATGTACATATTTAAGATATAACAACGTTTGCAGAGATCGAAATTTACGACACTTGGCAATTCTAGGGTTAGTTATGTGTCCGACTAACTATCCGTATGTAGTTTTTTTTTCCATTTTTTATTTTTTTATTGCTAATTGGGTGGGACTAAGTCCCTTGAACTGCGGCCACTTCTGGGTTATTGTACCAGCCCCAGATGATAGGTGAGGGTGATTGTGGAGGAATTGGTGGAATGAAGATTGGCAGGGGAAACCGAAGTACTCGGAGAAAACCTGCCTCAGCGCCACTTTGTCCACCACAAATTCCACTTGACCAGACCAGCGATCGACCTCGGGCCGCCGCGGTGGGAAGCCAGCGACTAGCCGCTTGAGCTATGGCAAGGTCATCTGTCTGTAGTTACTACCTACCACCACTAGGTGGTTAGTGGCCGGCTTCCCAACGCGGCGGCCCGGGTTCGACCCCAGGTGAGGACATGTGAGATTTCTGATGGACAAAAGGCAGTGGGGCAAGTTTCCTCCTAGTACTCGGGTTTCCCCTGCCAGTTCTCATTCCGCCAAAAGCCCCATGTTCATCTATCATCTGTGGTTGATACAGAAGGCCAACTAGTGACCGACGTACAACGTGGACTCTGTCTCACCGCATCCCAAGAGAATTGAATTGCATATCACCACGGCATGAAATGAGATTAATGAGGTTGACTGAGCTAAACGCTTATTATAAGCTAAACACAGAAAATGAGGTATAGGGAGAAAGACTAATAATAAACATAGGAATTTTCAGTTACCATCAACTTTAGGAAGTGTGGGGGCTGACTTTGGTGTAACAACCTGGCTTAAATGCCACCTCTTTCCCTCGAGCTGAGTTCTCCCTGTGGAGCTAACTAACTCGCTCTGCTAGTCAAGATACTGTAGGATATTTGCTCAAAGCAACAACTGGAGCCAGAGAAACAGCTGTTGATAGCGAACGGCTCTGAAATAACATTCGTTTCTAGGCAACGGCCGCGAAACAAAGCGCACAACGTCCGTTGCTAGGCAGCAGATTCTTAATAAACAACTGAACATGAACAGAAGAACGGTGTGTTCTGTGCGGTCCGTGCCGAGATGTTATAACCGGGAGAGCAACTAGTTCAGTGTTCAGTTGAAAGTCAGGCTGTGAAGAGAAGACTTTGTGTGTGCTGTAGTTGTGATGATATTTGGAGTGTGTAATTCCGTGAGACTGTTATAATTACTTGTAGTTACGATATCTAAGTGGCTAATAAATTCAATATCCAATCCAAAACCCTGTCGGGAATCACTGTAACATGTGACCCACATTCTCCACCTTTTATGGAAACCGAATGTTTATTGCCGTATTGAAAACAGCACACCACTGGACCCTATCCTGAGCCAGCTAAATCCAATTCACAAATTTCCCTCCAGAACTTTATAAACAATTACCGGCCCCGTTCGTTGACCGGTCTTGGTTCTCACATCGTGATAGTGTTCCACGGGACACAAATTACGGAACTCCCTATAGCCTAATTTTCTCCCGCTATGCATTTCCTCCCTCTTAGGCCAAGATTATTCTCAGTACCCTGCTCTCTAACACACTCAGCCTATGTTTAATTTTGCTCAACAGTAACTGAGTTGCACTGACTGATTAAAAGTTATTTCCAAGAACCAGCTCCTGTAACCGGCAAGCATGTACACAATAAGCACAGACACAAATATAGACATAAATAATAACAGCAAGCTGACGAGGATTCCATAACGAAGAGGTATCCTCCACAGGAACCATTTTCTATCCAAACACATAAAAACCTAATAAGAGTATTAGCAGCGTTGGTAAACCTGAGTGAAGGGCTGAAACTTATGAATTACTTATGGAACGAATGGAAAATTCTCCCAGTTAATTGAACTGGTATACGAAGTTCAACACAGTGAGTTTATTTTGATTTTTGGGAAAATCAAGCAAAAATAAAGCATAAAGTCACCGTCGCCTGGAATAAATCATTGTTCATTTTAAACATTCGAGAATTAAGTTATAATTTCGTTTTGGGCTGTGCTCGACAATTCGGCCTATCATGTTCCAAACCCTGACCAATCACGTGCTTCACTGTCCTTATTTTTAACCCTCCGTTCTCTGCTTTTCCACAGGACGTACTACAGGTCGAAAGTGCTGCAGCCTGTGCCAAGACTTCGGAACTTGCCACGGAAACTAGTGTACAAGTTTAATCCGGCCGTCATCCAGAAGGTGGCAGCAATGAAGCTCTCCTCTAGCACATTCAGCGGCAGAGGATTGAACTATAATACCAACAGTAACAAGTGACGGGCGCTTGTCAGTCATTTGGTAGACGAGGGACGGCAAAAGCAAAGTTTACAGAAAATCAAAATAAAATTGTCGTAAAGCAATAGCTCATAAGTGAGCTATGAAGGAGTGTAGCTGACTTTCATGTTTAGCAGGGCCACAAACGGGTGGTGACCTGTAGGATTCAGTTACAGAAATAAAATCAGGGAGGCTTGTCTCGTTTATTTTTATCAGCAGTTCCCAATTACTGCATTCTTGTGCGACTTCTTCACGTACATTCCTAGAGACTCTGAAGCATGATTATTATTTGAATTCAAGATTCTAATACAGAATTAAACGGTATCACACAAACCCAGGCTTGCAAGTTCGTGATTTTCGTATGAAAACGTTGGAAAGATGTTAAAACGAGTAAGATAAAGAGCAGCATGTTCTGTAACAGTAACTTACTAGGCATGTAAACAAAAATGAAAATTTCCACCATATCAGCCTGCCAGAACAAGCCAAAATCTGCCCATGAACATTCTTTCAAAACGTTCCTTAATATTATGAAATTGGCCTTTGGTATACTAATCGGAGCATTTCAAATTCGTATACGAAATCAGCTCGATTATATCCAAATAAATACGCAAACTTAACGGCAGCTGGGCGCTTACTGGCACTACATCTGGTGTCCAGAAAGTGGACTGTTTCAACTTTGACAGGGTTAAGCCACATAGCCGTCAAAGTAGGTAACAGCTAAACCCATCAAACTATACCTACCGCCTAGGATTAAAAAACTGAAGTGAAACGAAGCGTTTTGCGGATGCCCTATGCTCCAGTGGGAGCAACGGGAATAAAGATAGACAGACGGACATACAGGATACAAGCACACAAAACTGTCACGATTAGACTGTGTTTACGCTGCCATGATACAGTTTACAGTCCCTTGAAGAACAGCGATCACTGCATGTACAAGCTGCTTTTAACGTTTTAAAAATTCCTTTATAATTATTTTCCATTACAGCATTACCCTGGTTAGTCTTACAAACTCAGACAGGAATGTGTGGTAGAGACCAAATTTTTAAATATTATTCAGGTAAACTATATATTCGTAGGGATCTGGGAGCGGTCATCTCAGCTCGGCTTGCCGCTCGCTTCTATTAGTGCCTCTGAAATATCTGTCTCCGACCTACACGGCGTCATAAGCCAGAAGACATTCACCGCCGTGAGAACCTGAGAACAGCCACTCTTACAAATGTTCGAAGTTTTGCAAGAAAGTGGGGGGGGGGTTTAGACAATTTCGCTTAGAAACTCACGTTTACGCCGTTCTAGGCAGTTCTTTACTGATCCCTTTATAGTATTCAGATAGAAGAATACGTTTTAAAGTACGTTCAGTGTTTCCTGTTCATGTTTTATGTATTTTTCTCTTCTTCAATTTTTACTTTTTTAAAAATACTGGAAGGGCTCAGACACCTGACTAGCTCCGCGTGCCAATGCATGCACACTCGGGAGTCTGTAGGGAGGGCGTCATGCTCGCAGACCCCTGCTGCGCGGAGAACTTAAGGCGCCTCTTGAATAACCTGAACAGCCCTCGTTATGGACAACGACGAAGCAGAGGCAGCAGGAATTTAACGAGTTATTATCACAATAAATAACTGAGTTACGCTTCACTCAGCGAACCCGTCAACTGTTTTATATGTGAAGGACGTATAAAATAACGACAGAAGGGGAAGCTGAAGGTGTAACTCATTCAGTGTCTTTAGAATGGCTGGAGAAACATCTAGAGGTGCTAACAAGTTAGGAAAAGTATACACAGCTTAATTTCTGCATGTACACTCACTTTTAATTAATTATTTGGAAATCAGCAAGTCTTATAAAAAATATTTGTCATGGTTAAAAATCCGGAATTATATTGAGAGAAGAAGTTGTATAGAAAAAACTGCAGAAGATGAGACGAAAACGACGGATATGCTATGAACATGTTCGTGTAATGAAGACAGACAAATACCATGCTGCCCAACGGATTGCAGCTGAGCAAGGCGCTGGAGGTCGGAAGGCGAGGGGTATACAGTAGGATGGAACGGAATCTATGAGAGAAAACAAGTCCTGCCTGAGGAAGATGCAGAAAACCACGAGAGATGGAAACTTGTGGAGAGTAGCCACTAAAGGGGAAGAGTGTGGAAGAAATATAAAGAAAAATTGTTCACGTTTCTCTACAATATATATTAGAAAGGTTTTGGCCCCAAAAAATATATGCATGTGGAAATACATGTACATTTTCATGTGAAAGCCCCGTTACTTTTGTCCGGTCTTTAACGACAATTGGGAAGTGTTAATACATTTTCGGTAAATTCCCAAAAAACCCAATTTCATAAAAACATTTTCATGAGTTCTTGAGTTATTACACGTGGAGAGAGAGATACGGCGTGAAGCCTAACTGGCACATTCTGTCAGACGTTCGTTGCGAACGCTGGATCAACTGGGTCAGATTGTTGGGAACGGGAACATGTCCACAAATATTAATTTGACAGAAGAAAAAATCGCGTTTCTCGAAAACACCATGAATTAGAAAGATAAATTTTCTGCCGACAGAATAGCAACAGACGCGCATACGATCCAGCTGGCTAAGATACAAGACGTTTCGGGAAGACGTGCCCTTGTTTCATCTTAGCTGACTTGCAGATAATACAAACATCGATCTGACAGTAAGTAGTCTCTGAGTCTGAGTCACTGTCTGTATCCCAAAACATGTTTATATTAACGTATTACTGGATATCTCCTTCCAGAGATTCCTCGAATACAGTGACATATTGTGGCGCACAGAACCGCTGCTAAGTGGTGACTGTAATCAGCGGCCGCTGCTAGGTAACGCCGGCAATATATACACATGTAACAATAGAAGAACGGAGTTACGCAACCCGTTTCTAAACAACGGCTCGTAAACACGTTCCCGCGGAAACGAACACGCAAGCAACAATAGAAGAGCGATGCTTTCGATGTGGTATGCTCCAAGGAGTTATTTTGAAGATAATTAAGTTGGCAGTTCAGTTGAGTAAAGTGAAGTGAAGCGAAGTGAAGTAGTTGGTTGCTGAATGAGAGAGTTCAGTTGAGCCCTGCAAGGGAGGCTCAGAGGAGATGGCGCTATAGTTGAGTTGACAGCTGAGCGGAGTCTGCTTGCGGGATATTCACCGTAACGACGTGAGCGTAGGAAGCCAAAAAAATCACCGCTGTTCGAAGCCGTTGCTAGGGAACAGCTATTGAAAACACAGCAGGCTGGAAAAAGGCTTAATGGATGCTGTGGTGATTTGTAAAATGTGGGGCTTAGCGATAACGCTGTAATTACTTGTAGTTCTGAGTGGTGTGTATAAGTGGTCAATAAATCCATTCACAAATCCATACCCCGTCTATAGTCACAAACTCCAGACTGTTAACTGAAGCATGAAGAGAGATGAAACAGGCAGAAAGATAACTGTTTTATCAGATGATGAGATTCACCAAACTTTGTTCTCCTTAAGTTCACGCCATGCACCCACTTCCTTCTACGTTTACACAAAGAAAGTAACAGCAAAAGCTCTTCGTCGGACTCATCGCTGGACTTAGTTGAGTCAGCCTCTCAGGGCCGCACCTCAAACCCATGAGAGGTTCTTAATTACCCAATTATCGCAGTGACCGCTTCCCAGGAACAAAAGACATTCCCCATAACCACATAGACCTATGCCATTAGGCCGCGCCATAGCTCAAGCGGTTAGTCGCTGGCTTCCCACCGCGGCGGCCCGGATTCCATCCCGGGTCTGGTCAAGTGGGATCTGTGGTGGACAAAGTGGCGCTGGTGCAGGTTTTCTCCGAGTACTTCGGTTTCCCCTGCCAATCTTCATTCCACCAATTGCTGCACAATCACCCTCACCTATCATCTGGGGCTGGTACAATAGGCCAGAAGTGGCCGCAGTACAAGGGACTTAGTCCCACACCACTAGCAATAAAAAAAATAGACCTATGCCATATGTGCGATACATACATAAGAGACAAACCCATCCTCTCGTCTGAGAGGCTGTTACATAAGGACTATGACCGCAAAATCTCAGTTGCAGAAAGAAAAAATTTGTGGTCGTGGACCTCAAGGAGTTGGGGATAAGACGAACTCACTGGCGGTAAACCGCAAGTCGTAAAGTAACTCTGAGTCTGAGTTCAGTCGGTCAGTGGAATGGAACGAGTTGGTTGGTGAGTGAGTGAGTTAGAGGATGCCTGCAGTTCAGTCGTTGTGAGCTCTTTTCTTAGAAGGTGGTAGCGGAGGCACAAGGACAGTTCGGGAACCCAGACTGGTGAAGACACAGCAGACTGAAGAGATTTAGTGCCTGTTGCAGAGCGTGTGAATTAGCAATGGCGCTCTAATTACTTGTAGTTACGATCCGTAAGTGTTAAAAAAAATTCAATTACCAATCAAAACCCCATATATAGTCACATTCCATAAATTACGTTACAATGGGAATAAATTTTCTAGTGTTAACAAGTTTCATTAACGGAAGGTATATTCTGTCACGAAAAAGCTAGCATTATTTTCTTCCAGCGTATCGTGCGTATTCTGTGAATACTGATAATATTTTTATATGGGTATGAGAACTGTGGTCTACTACATAGAAATGAGACTGTTTATAATTATTCCTGGGAGATGAAGTTAATGTCAGTATCGACGCGTAATTGGGTAATATGTAGGACAGAAAAGAAATACGGGCTAGGAAACATTGGCACTAACCTCTTCCGCACCGGCTTCAATATAATTTCTGGCGTTACTATAAGCATGCCATTCATACTAAACTTCTCTGTACCTTATCAGGAATACTGATATTGTGACGAATATGAACACTGCTAGCCAAGCGTTCTGTAAGCACGTTCCCGTTGCAACGAATAAACGACGAATAGTCCATTGCTGGGCAACGGTTCTGTAAGCACGTTCCAGCGACAACACAGAAAAAAACAAGTAACAGATGAACTGTAAGACAAGGTGACTTATATTCGGTTCGCCCCGAAGTTATGGAAGGGCCAGTTCAGTTCATTTGCGAGCGAGCCGTCCCTCGGCATTTGTCACTCGTCCTTAGTGATTCGTCACAGTCGCAGTGGAAGAGAAGCTACCCGTAGTCCAGTAACGAATGGAGCGAGTCTTAGGTAGGTACTGATTGTGAGCTGTTATAATTGATTGTAATTGTAAAGGAGGCAATAAATTCAATCATCCAATCCAGAACCCCAGACACGTGACATT